CTTTGCATCCATCATCCGTACCAAAAATGATTAAAGACAGACATATTAGTGGGGTCCTATCAATATATATGGTTGAAATTTTAGAAGAGCTGGTGTGATATATGTTTCTTTATTAACTTCGTAAATTCAAATTTAAGATTAATATTTTTAAAAAATATAGTTTTACTAGTAGTACTTTTATTTTTTTTTATTTTCTTACAGACGATAAAACACACACACTCTCTCTCTCTATATATATTGGCCATCCAAAGGCAATGAGCATTTTTAAATCTTAGCTTTCAAGAAAATTAATATATTTTTATTTTGATCTTATTTCAAAGAAACAGAATATGTGAACGCTTCAACGCATGGCTGATCCTCTTGAGCACGGAAGGATGATAACTGCCTCCGCTACGATTTTTACTTCTTGAACAGAGTTATATACATTTTTGTCACTGCATTTTTCAAACAATCCAGTTCGGTCCCTATACCCTAATTATTTTTCAGTTGGATCCTTGATTTCGAATTTTTTCTTTTCTTTCTCGAAACTAAAAAAGTTTCTCTTGCTATAAACCATAAATCATAAATGCTATTTTTCAGCAAAAATATACACATCCTTAAAAAGAGTTAAACCTTCTCCTCTAGTTCACGAAAAAAAATTTAAGTAATAGTTATACAAGGTGATGCTTATCCTGTTAGACCATAAAAATTATGTGGAATAATTGTATTATACATATACTAACTTTTAATATTTTTTTAATTGAGTATATAAATTTTACTTTTTTGTTTTGTTTGAGTAAATTATTTTTTAAAAACTATCAATCAAATATTTTTTTGTTCAATTTCTATCAATTGCTTTGTTATTGATTGAAGTGTTCTTTATCCTAAACTAATAAATTATGATTTTTATCTTTTTATTTTTGAAGAAAACTTTTCTTTTCAAATTATTTTATTATTTTTTTTGTACAGTAAATACCTATAATGTTTTTATATCCAAAAGGTAGAAAAAACCAAATTAATTTGAGAGAGAAAATATCCTCTAAGACTTAAAGAGCCGAAATCATAATTTAATAATTTAGGACAAATGACACGTTATCAAATAATATAATAATTGATAGAAGCTTGATAAAAAATATTTGATTGATAATTTTAAAAAAATCAATATATTCAAAAAATAAAGTTCTATATTCAATTAAAAATGTTAAAAATTAATGTATTTTATAATGTAATCATCCCAAAATCACTGTAAAAGCTTAAAACATTTTGACTTAAACTTACCATATTTTTGTTCCTTCTAGAATTTTGTTCAGAATCGGCTACCACCATACTCCCAACGATTTTTAATAATGTCAACTGAAATGGAACTCATCCATCAATTCACACGTCACTCACTAACATGGTTCTTTATATACGCAAATGGAAATCTACTCTAAGAAAGTTCGCCGCTGTCAGCTCAAACTTTTTACAGAGAAAGTCAACTTGACATTAAGCATACGGAGAATCTAAATAGACAATAAGAACAGAGTGGTAAACATCTTATTATTGCTCTAAATGCATTTGCTTTTCTTAATTATAGGTATCTTATACGTAGGTCGGCACGTATGATTTCGTAAGAATAACGGTTTTGAAGGTAGTCTTGAAATGAAACTAAGTTGTTCCTTTTTTCCTTTTATGGACCGGACATTCCGAACCATGACTAGATTCAATCAATGATTTAATTGATTATTTATGTAATTAATTTAGATTTTGTTTGATATGATTTATGAAAATTGATTTTTGATTTTGAATTATAATTTAAAAGTTTTTTTTATATAAAAAATTGTTATAAGTTAAAAGCATTTTAGTTTGGTAAAAAGTTTATTCAAATCAATTTCTTTGATTCTTGAGTTACCTTTTGTACATGCTTGAATATATTTGACGAAAGTTTAACTTAAATACATTGTTAATATTTAGTTTATGTTAATTGAATTAACATTTTATCTTTATCAATGTTCTTATATTTTGGGTTAAATACACTTCGTGCTTATGTATTATATCAAAAATATTAATACAACTCTTTTATCTAAATATAGTTCATAATAAACGTTAAATTATTGGACGTTGGTGCAAAACAACTCCTTCATTAAATTTTTCTCGTCGGATTGATGAATTTTTATTAGTTGACTAGTGTTTGATCAATTACATGGAGACACATGTCAAATTAAAAGTAAAAATAAAATTAGCTTTTTTATTTCTAAAAATAAAATAATTATTAATAACTATTAAATTATAAAAAAAATTGGAAAACAAATTCTAAACAATTTTTTTTAAAATAATAAAAAAGTCACTTTTTAATGATATTATAAAATTTATTATTAAAAAAATAAAAACATATATGTAAAGAACTTTCTTCGATTTTAATTATTTTATAATAATTATTAATAATTTTTTCAATTTTTAATATTTATAATAACTATTAGTAAATAAATTTTTTAAAAAATCAAAAGAATTTTTAATGATTTTATATTGATTATTATTTATTTTAATAAAATATTTTGATTATTAATTTTTTCTTTATTCTTTTTTGAAAAGATTTTTAAATTGATTTATAATGATTGTTAATTATTTTAATAAAAAAATTTTATTATTAGTTTTTTTCATTTTTTAGAAAAAATTTCTTTAGATTTTTTTAAAATTTTTTTCTTTATTAGTAATTATTGTAAAATCATTAAAAATTTCCTTAGATTTTTTTAAATGCTTTATTAATAATTATTATAAAATCATTACAATTTGAAAAAATAATTTCTTTATGTTCTTTTAACAAAAAAAAAATGATAACTATTATAAATTCCTTAGAAATTTTAAAAAATTGATTATTTAAAAAAAATTTCTATAGATTATTTTTCAATTTTTAATAGTTTAAAATAATTATTAATTATTTTAATTTTAAACAAAAATTGAAAAAAACTAATTTTTTTTAAAAATTATATTTTTGCCTTTAAATTGACACATGTTGTCACTTAATTGGTTAAACGTTAGTCAATTGACAGAAATTAGTTAATCGATGAACAAGGTTAACATATAAATTATTTTGCATTAACGTCTAATAACATAAGATTTGTTATGAACTAGATTTAGATAAAAAAGATTGTTGCGGTAATACATGAGCACAGAGTGTATTTGAACCCTTATATTTTACACAATTAAACTAAATTTGGAATGGCATACAGGTTAGAAAGGACAAGCATGAGACAGAAAAAAAAATCATTTTTGGCATGTGAAGATAGGTGTTCGTTCGGTTATTTGATTTAGTTTCGAAATATTTTATACAATTTTTGATTAATTAAACCTTAAAAAAAAATTAAAACCTAACTGAGATGTTATTTAATTTTTGAGTTTGATTTCAAAATATTTTAGTTTCAATGTTTGATAATTCAATTTTTATCTATTTTAAAATATTTTGATTCGATTAAGTTATTAGGTTTTCACTCAACAGTGACACACGCTGCACCAGACGAGGGTGGCAAAAAGCTAATGGTAAATGGATCTACAAGCATTTCACTTTAGTTAACTCGACTAGCCAATGGCAGTTGAGAGCAATAAATGAATGAATCAATTCTGTGCTACACTTTTCACCCAATGCTGCTTACCAAACAGGAAGAGGGTCCATGGTGTAATGAAATACTTGTCGGTTATAGATATTACTACTAATATTTTAATATGCTTGCTAATATTAGGATCGCGGATGATGCATGCAATTCTTTTTATATGTAAAACTAATAGAGTATTCTGACATTAATTTTTTTTATGGATCAAAATTAAATTCTTTATTTCTTGAACTAAATCAATTTCAAAACATGTTTATTTTTTAATTAATTATAAAAATTATTTTTTTGATCAAATTATTCTAAATTTAGTATTACTAAAAAATAATTATGATTAGTTATCCTTAAATAATAAGAAATGAATATTGATTTTGGTCAAACCAAAACAATTCATTACCTCTAGATCATATATCTTAATAAATCAAGATTAATATGATATATTTATTAATATCGTATTTGTGCATTGATAAATATCGATGTCCATCTAATTAACCATTTAAACTTTCTTATCATAATCTAATGTTCCTGATTATCAAGTGATTTTAGTGTTTCTTTTTTGACATTCTCTTCTGTATATAAAAAAAATGATGGTTGATGGGTTATAATGCTAGATTGTAAAACAAAAAAATCTCATAAATTAGATAGCCTATTTTCAAGCCAACAGGAGAGTAAATTTAGTGCATAAAAGTTGTCCAAAAATAAAAATAATTATCCTAAAATAAGAATACACACACAATAATGATGCTGGCTGGACCTGCGATTAGATCGTTACTTGCAAAAATCCAAACAAGCTTGGAGTTGGGCAGCTTGTACCCATGAGGTTAAATTCAATCATATATTACTTTTACAAATATGGATAGATCAATCTATTTTGCTCTAAGAAAATCGATAACCTAGTTAATAACTTCTGTTGGTTGGGAAGACATTGAACACCGTTAAGGAAATTGTACTGTTGGCACATGAATAAAGTTTTTTTGCGAGATGGCATCTTCTAATTGGTTAAGGTAGTTGGAGGACTGTATAAAAAATTGAAATCTTATTATAAATTTACCAAACAAGATAGAAATCTTCCTTCTGTACCTTGATTGAGCGGTGGTCCTTTCGTATTTAAATAGAGATTAGAATTTGATTTGATTTTCATTATTTATTAATAATTAGACTTAATTATTTTTAATGATATTAGGTTTGAGTTGATTTGGTTTAAAAAATCATACATCTTAAAATTTAATTTATTTTAAAATTAATTTATCTTAAAAAATAATAAATTTAATCTCAAAAACTTATTCGAGAATATTTTATTATTATTATTATTATTTTTTAAAAGATCAGTAGCTGTATGACTATATCTATATATACATAGGTATGACTCACTTACAAGTGAGGAAAGAAAGAAAACAAGCATCAGCAAGCAAAAAGGTAGCTAGCAGTGGTGAAGTAATGGCTTCTCGGCCTGGAATTCTCACGGACTGGCCATGGCAACCTCTTGGAAGCTTTAAGGTCTCATGAAAATCCCTCCCATTTGTTTCCCTCTCGTTTACTAATTCTCTTTATCTCATCACATACAATATCTGTCATTTTGGTGCAAACAACGTTAGCGTATATCATATCGTAAAAACTATAAGAACCCAAGGCAAAAATATTAATCATTGTCAGTATTAATTATATATCTTTGCTTTTTTTTTTTTTTTTGCTTTTTTATTGGAATTATATATCTTTGTGTTTGTTTGTGGGATTAAATATTGCAGCATGTAATATTGGCTCCTTGGGTCATCCACAACATCTACTCCTACATGGTTAAAGATGAAAAGGATCTATCAAGCTTTCTCATATTCCCACTTCTGCTGTCGAGATTTCTTCACAACCAGTTATGGATCAGTCTGTCTCGTTACCAAACAGCTAAAGGAAATAGAAGGATTGTTGACAAAGGCATTGAATTTGACCAAGTTGATAGAGAAAGTAACTGGTCTGTGTATATTACTACTGCTGATCATGATGCATATCGTACATACAGTCTTTTTTTTTTTTTTCTTTTTTTAATGATTTGATGCATTTTTACCCTAGTCTTTAATTATTATTATTTTTTTACAATTATAAATTTCTGGTTGGATATATATTTGGCTGCAGGGATGACCAAATATTGTTCAATGGAATTCTGTTCTACGTTGGTACCTGGGCAGTCCCAGGAGGTACCCATCTACCCATGTGGAGGACAGATGGTGTAATTTTAACAGCTCTTCTTCATATTGGTCCTGTAGAGTTCCTGTATTATTGGCTTCACCGACTTCTGCATCACCACTATCTCTACTCTCGTTATCATTCCCATCACCATTCTTCTATCGTTACAGAGCCCATTACTTGTGAGTCCTAGTACTACTATATGTAGGCAAATTTTACTATGCCTTTTTGCAATATTTTATGTTTTTTTTTCCTCTAAATTAACCACAAGCATTATGTGGTGGATAGAATTCGTAACTTCAATTCGAAATTTTTGGAGTTTCGTTCGTAAAAACTAATTCAAATTTCACTTTTTTCCTTAGATTTGCTACTATTATGATTAAGTTTTATTACTTTCTCATGGTGAATTTTTGCAGCTGTGATTCATCCATTCGCGGAGCACATATCATACTTCACGCTGTTTGCAATACCATTAGCGACAACTATCTTGACCGGGACGGCTTCTGTGCTATCCTTTGCTGGTTACGTCACTTATATTGACTTTATGAACAACATGGGCCACTGCAACTTCGAACTCATTCCTAAGTGGCTCTTCACCATTTTCCCCCTCTCAAGTACCTCATGTACACCCCATCGTAAGTCTACTAATTCTCACTTAACTTTTGCAATATTTATCAATTATGACTCCCATTTTCTTTCTTATTAATAGGGTTTTCTCGTAAGTTTGAAAAACTTAATTGGGGATATAAAGAGTAAATTATAATTTTTTTTCTAATTTCGAGAAACGAATTAATTAGTGTTTTTTTTTTTGAAAAAAAATAATTATTTAATTTTTATATTTTTAATTTTTTTTATAATTTAATTTTTCCAAAAAATAAAAAAATAAGTTAAAAAATATGAAATGATCAATTAGAACAAATGATGTTTATTTTTAAATAAAATATAGTTAATACTGTTTAAAAAATTAAATAATATAAATCTGAAAAAAAGGGATCATTTTATGTATTTTGCAAAATTAAAGGAACTAATTTATAATTTATTCGAGTTTGTGGGGGTAGATCAAACGGGGATCTGTCCTTTCCCGGCCGGCGGAGACTTGTGTGAATGTATTTAACTAAAAATTTGTGAGACGGCTGCAGGTTCCATTCTCTTCACCACACTCAGTTCAGAACCAATTACTCACTATTCATGCCTATCTATGATTACATCTATGGAACCATGGACAAGTCTACCGATATCGTCTATGAAAATTCACTCAAGAGGCCCGAGGAATCCCCGGATGTCGTGCATCTAACCCATCTTACCACACCAGATTCCATCTACCATTTACGGCTAGGACTTGCCTACTTGGCTTCCACCCCTCAAAAGTCGAAGTGGTATCTCTGGTTGATGTGGCCTGTGACCTTGTGGACCATGATATTAACTAGTATTTATGGACGTACGTTTGTAGTAGAGAGGAATCGATTTGACAAGCTCACGTTACAAACATGGGCCATATCAAGATACAAAATCCAAGTAAGAAAGATATTTCTCTGTCATTAATTAATTAAATGATGTCAGTTTAGTTCGGTCTTGTAATTTGTTTATTTACTTTTTGGCAGTACAACTTGCAATGGCAAAAGGCATCAATAAATACCTTGATTGAAGAAGCTCTACTTGAAGCCGAGGAAAAAGGTGTTAAAGTGTTGAGTCTCGGTCTCCTGAATCAGGCAAGTAATTCATGATGAGCATAGAATGTACGATACGGACAAAGATTGATATTTCTCTGTCATTGATGTTAATTCAAGTTAAAAATTTAAATCCTAAAAAATAAGAGACGGGATTCAAAAATAAAGAATACTACCAAAACTCATGATGATTGAAGTTTTTTTTTTTTTTTTTTTTTTTTTAAAAAGTTTTTTGGTCATTGGCCTCTGCAAAATGCAATCATCTGCTTGACCGCAACAAAGACAAATGCTAAAGTGGGTCCTTATATGCAAAACCAGAGGTATAAATTATAAATTAGTCTTTTCAGTTTTAAGAAAGAAATAAATAAATAAATAATTTTTTTCTATTTTAAAAATCAATTATTTAATCCTTATATTTCTTTTTTAATTTAATTATTTTTATTCTTTTAAAATTTATTTTATTTTAAGAATTAGAAAAAGACAAAAAAATAAAAAAAATAAAAAAATTGATGAGAAAAGATGATATTTTATAAAAGAAAATAATATTAAATAAAACATGATAACACTAATAAATAAATTAAATAATTTAATGTTTGAAACAATGAGGTAATTAATTTATTTCTAAAAAATAAAAGTACTAATTTATAATTTATTACACTTAAAGACCCAGCAAATCAGTTTTCGTTTTTTCAAAAAAAAAAAAAAACAAAAAAAAAAGAGAAGAAAAGAAAACAAATAAGCAAGTGAGGATTTGCTAGTCTCTATTTTACCATACGCAATGGCAAGCTGTATCCTGAAAAAATGAATAATAACTACGAAAAAAAAAATCAATTGGTGGTTTTATTTCCATGAATGTTGATAGCAATACCAAACACAAATTTTACAGGGAGAGGAGCTCAATAGGTATGGTGAACTTTACGTGCAAAGGCATCCCAAGCTTAAAACAAAGGTGGTGGATGGAAGCAGTCTAGCAACTGCTATTGTGCTCAATAGCATTCCCAAAGGAACAACTCAAGTACTCCTTAGAGGCAATCTCTCTAAGGTTGCTTTTGCTGTTGTTTTTCATCTCTGCCAGAGGGGAATCCAGGTATTACTACTGTTTTTGGCAGTAATTTACTTAAAATGACTGCAATTTGAAACTCAACAATGGCTTTGTTTTATCTTCTAAAATCTAATTAAGATGATGCCTGTGTACTGATTTTTTCAGGTAGCTGTTCCCTGTAAGAATCATTATGAGAAGCTTAGAAAATCCTTTGGCGTCAGATCTGACCTGAATAATTTGATTCTTTCAAAGAGTTATTCAACAAAGGTCCGTTATAACTACAAATATGCCTTTCGAATTTACCTGCCAAAAAAATTTAGAAATTAAACGATTCATTAATAGCTTCCTCTCTCTATATATATATATATTGATTCACCAAAAGGTTCATTGGCTTGGATTTTGAGTTTCTATTATTACTATCATAATAACAGAAATCTCGAAATGATTATATATATTGTTGTTGTTGTTTTTTTTTTTTTTTGACCTTTCTAATTTCATAATAAACTTTGTGTAGACGTGGTTAGTTGGAGATGGACTGAACGAAGGAGAGCAAAAGAAGGCAACAAAAGGAACCTTATTTATTCCCTTCTCCCAATTTCCCCCAAAGAAATGGCGCAAAGACTGCTTTTATCACAGCACACCAGCAATGACAGCCCCTGCATCTCTCGAAAATGTAGACTCTTGTGAGGTAATATATTATTAAATTGTTTTCAAATCTGTTTGCATTATCTTTGGTTTTTTTTTTTAATAAATAAACATATATAATTTTTTTTTTTTTTTGAAAGATGATTAATTTGTATTGCAAAATAATTGATGATATGTAGAATTGGCTGCCAAGAAGAGTGATGAGTGCATGGCGTGTGGCTGGAATAGTGCATGCCTTAGAAGGATGGAATGAGCATGAGTGCGGTTACACCATGGCAGACAATGACAAAGTTTGGCAAGCAAGCATCCAACACGGCTTCAAACCTCTGGTCATCACAACTCAGTCAAAATTCTAACGATGGATATTTAGCCGCCTTTTGTTGCTAGCTATGCCTTAATCATAAATGCTTGATAGGGATGTGACATTTCATATCCCATCCATGAGACTGCAACCGCTATGGTATCTCTACCCATTAATATAGTCCTATTTCACTATCTATGTAATTGACAAATAATTATTAAGTAATGGCCATGGCAGATGGTTGATTTTACTTTGTTCAATTAGCACTATATATATATGAAGCTGTATCGATCTGATCTAATAAGAAACCGAGCAGCGGCCACCACATATATCTATATCGTCTATGCAACAGAAAAAGTGTTACACTCTAAATTTAGCGGACCCTCAAACATTTTCCATAGAATTAACCTTTTTTTTTATTTGTTTATGGAAAGTCTCGTGAGTTTTTGGCTTCATAGAGAAAAGTAATTTTTCATTATATAACAATTAAATCAACCGAAGTTTTTGAAAATCGAACCCATTTCATTTAAAAAAAGAAAAAAACTATCAAATATGCGTAACATTAAACTATGTCAGCAAGGTATAGTTGGCTTTTCGCTAGATAATGTAATATCGTACGATAACAGCTGTAGCAGTACTAGCTAATTAATTACTAAGGACTAAACTGGAAAAAAAATGGAAAAGAAACCCTACTGCAAGTCTGCAACCATATTGAAGGAACATATGAACGTGTTGGACTAGCTGTTGGCCATCTGGTCGATCCTTATGAATTAATAAGCCGACAACAGATGAGTACCTGATGGCTTAGTAGGGACCACTGCAAAGTTATTCTCAAATTTGTAGGTGGCGCTACCAATTGTAACATTAAAAATGGCCTGGATCTAGTGGACCAATATACCTTTCAACATCAATTTACTGCAGGGATTTTTGATCATGAAACAAGAATCAATTTGGAGTAAATTATAAATTAGTCCCTCTAACTCTGCAAAATAAATCAAATAGTTTTCTAGTTTGAAAAACTAACAAATTAGTCCTTATAATGAGGAAAGATTGGTGAGAAAAAAAAAGATATTTTTTTTTTGGATCAAACTAATATTAAATTAAGTATAATCAAACTGATCAAGAAGGATTATATAATTTTTTTTTTTTGGCAAAACTAGAGGGATTGGTTTATAATTTTACTCAATCAATGTAATGTCTCCATGTCATCTTCATTTATCAAAACTAGTAAAAGATTCTCTCTGGGATATCAATCGAGTACACGATCTCTATGACGTTAGAGGAGCACATAACCAAACTCTATCAAAACTAGTAAAAGCTTCTTTCTGGGATGTCAATTAAGTACAAGATCTTTATGGTGTTAGAGGAGGACATAACCAAATGATCATGCAAAACGTGGACAGTTAACTGCAAACCAGAGAGTTAGGTTAACGTAAGAGTTCTGTTAAATAACGTATTCTGTCAATGATAGTTCAAAAACAAAGCTTGATAAGTTGGTTAAGTCCTTGTAAATAATCCAAGGCTTGGGCTATAAAGCCCACAACGAATGATTAGGATCTCCATGTTGAGTAATAAGCTAGGATATATGTGTCCGAGCATTGAAGGAATTACATGCCAGACAGCCAGAGTTAAAAAAAAAAAAAAAAAAAAAAAGAAAGGAAACCATACTCTGGAATGGGGCTAACGCGCAAGCTAAAATAAGATCACAACTTACATGAAATGACAATGAAGCATCAATACGAACACAAAATACAGACACAGTAATATAGCAATTTTAAAATTTTAAAACACGTTACGCGAGAGATCAAATATGTTAATTTGTTTAATTATTTTATATGGTTTAAAAAATTATTTTGAAAGTAAATTTAAAAAATACTAAAAAAATCAATGTAAGGAATTTTATGAAAAGTTTTGAGAGTAGAAAATAAAAAAACTAAAGATCATGTTTTTATATTTGCTTTACAATTATAAATAAATTTGGATGTATAAAAATGAAATTTTATTGGAAATTAATGATTTTTACGATTATGAAGGATCAATCATATATACTTTTATTTTTTTCTTTCAGATTTAATTAGTGCTAATCATTTTTCTTTTAATTTTTTATTCATAACAGAACAAATGATTTTTTAAATCTAGAAATAAGTCATGTATAGTTATACAGTTTATATAAAAAATTTTATAATGCATGCGTTTTGAAATAACTCTTGCTAAAAATATGAATATGTCATCAATCATTATATTGCATAAATTCTCATTATTATAAAAATTATAAATTAGAAATAATTAATTAACAAATGTTGAAGTAAGGTTATGTTTAGTTAAATGTTTGATTTTTTTTTCAACTCTTGAAAGCTAAAACTTTATTTGGATCTTTTTATAATTAAAAATTTAGCACCGAAACATATTTTACCATATTTCTCGTTTATTCTATCATATTCTTCGTATTGAAAACTAAATTTATTATTTTATCATATCTTGTATGTACGAAATTATATTAGATAAATAAATTTATTTGTCCTTATATAATATTTAAAATTTTTCATATATCCTCGTGTTTTTAGTTGCATCTTATTTATTTCTTAAAGTATTTAAAATAATCAATTTGTCATTCCATTCAATTTTATTGGTCAAATAATTTTTTTCACCAAAATGTTCTTAATTGAAATACGAAAAAATAAAATTTAAAAACTTTTAAAATAGAACATGTAAGTCATGTGAGTTTAAGTATTCTTGTTTATAGATTAGCTAAAAAATTTTTATGATCATAAAATTTAATTAGAAAAATAAATTGAATATTTTAATTTTTTTTAAAAACAGATGAGATGTAATTTAAATTAAATAATGAATTTATACCTGTATCGATATTAATTCGGTATGAATATGGGAAAGGTTTTCTTTAATATATGGTTCCCCTAACAAGTGGAGAACAAAAAAAACATACTTAAAAGCAACTACTACACCACGTAGATCCATGTAGAATTTGTCAAAGCACGTGCAAGCACATATGAAAGTGGTGTAGACATGCATGGGCCATACTAAAATACAACATTCAAGTAACGAGTTCGATTTGGGTTTTGGTTGCTCGTTTGTTTATATACGTGTCGCAGTTTTACTTGCAATGACAAAAGGTTTCTATCAATAACTTGATTGAGTGGCTATTTGGTATTACTTGTGTTTTTAACGCACAACTTTGGTGCGACCTGGTACACTCCCAATCAAGAGAAAACCAGCACCAAATTGTGATGCCAAAAGGAGTCTATCTTCTTAATCACTTTCTTGGGAATCCTGTAGAAGCACAAGCGATATAATGGCAGGCTAAAGATTATAAATTTAATCAAACATAAGTATTATTTAATAATATTTTTTATTACTAACTTGTGTGAAGTGCAACAAAGCTCGTGGACGATAGAGTCACCACTTAACAATTGAAGAAAGTAAAAAATTATAAAACAAAATTAGTTTGCATAGATATCCGGATAAAAAATCAATTATGCATGGACAAGATTAACATTATCATCATTTTGTCATATCTAAGGTAGGTTATATTGTATGCATATGAAAACTAAAGTATGATTTGATCATGTTATAATTTTATGCCTATTTGAGTGAATTTATTTTATTAAGATAAATTGGTCGAGTAATTTGGAGTTTAGACTCGATCAAAAACCTATATCCACACTCTAGAAGAAAAAAGGTGTAGAAATTGAAATTTTAGTTGGCCCCTAGCCGGCTACCAATGTGTGTCGGTAAATAAACGAGCCTCTAAGGATTATAAGCTCATATTTTCATAATTAGGAAGTTATTGGCGACTTCGTCTATACAAATAGAAAGTCATCGATAATTTTAATTCACACAATCACTACAAAAAATAAAAAATAAAATAAAATAGAGGTGAAAATTTCTCTTGCTAAATCAACAATTTTCGTTGCTATTTGGTTTAGCGATGGAAACAAACTCGTTGGTCAAATGTTTGTCGCTAATTTTTTTAGCAACAGATTAAAAATTTCATCGCTAATTAACAATAGATTAAAAATTCTATCGCTAACTAGCAACATAAATGTTGTTTTATTTTGACGTATTTCTACTCGTTATTTTATTGTAAACGGTCGTATATTTGGTGTGAAATTTGTCGTCAAACCATTGGTAATTAGTTTTATTTTTGTTGTTATATAGAGATGGAAATCCATCCCATGTTTTTTTGCTAATTTCAATTGTCGATTTGTCGTCGGTATCCATTGCTATTTTTAGTGATTGTTTTTCCGTCGCTTATTTCTATTGCCAAGTGTTTAATTTAATTTTTTGTAGTCATTAGGTGATCACTAATATGTTGTTAAATTAAGGTTTTTTTAATTTCATTAATAGGCATTTAAATATTTCATCATAGTAGCCAACAACTAAAATTAAAAATATAACACAAAGTATTATTGAATAAATATAAAATCATACACACACACACACACACACACACTATATCATCCGGTATATGAATACATTAAAAAGAATAATTTAAAAGAAAACTAGTCCTCATCAAGATAATTTACTCGCTTCATCTTCCGGATGCTAGGTACCGGGAGGAAAAATGGACTTTTGGGTAAGGGGAGGGTTAGAAGGAAGGATGCAACTCCTAAGTGTTCTTCTAACAACCGCTCTATCCTTTGCATTCAATGTCTGGATAGGTCGATGTTCCGTCTTGTACTTATTATTCACCTCTTGAATCTATTAAGTATAATCACTTTGTACGTCCTCCAGCCTTTTATTAGCAATGCTCATGATCTAGTTATATATAATTAAGGAAACGAGATGCGATAGAGGATGAGCTGGTCTCGGAATATGAGTAATACTAGGACGCCCGTGATTCGAAGTCGTACACTCTATGGTTCTTCTCTCCTCCTACAACCTTAAAATATATATGTGACATATCAATTTCTAGAGACGATGAATCACCTTCGGTCGCTAGCTAGCAGCTGATGCATACAATTAATCCACATGCTCCTATGTAATTAAAAAAATTATAATATTAAAAATCATAAATATAATTTTATTAAATTTGCA